CTTTGCTGTTCTTCTCATTGTTTGGCTGCCACTCTGAACGGCAGTTGATCTCTACTTTCTATCTGTACTGTTTTACTGTTAGTTGTTGCTGTTTGCCGAACTGGTTTATAGAGTCTATTTGCTTTAGCGCTCTGTAACTTTGACAGCTGACATTTGGAGAAGTGTGGATTTGATCAAACTGAACTCTACAGGTGAGTGGCCGTGATGTGGTTTTACTAGTAGGAAATGGAAGTTGCTAGACTACATCTTAGTGAAGAATGTAGCTTTGGAAATGTGTTTTAGAACAAGCTTTTAGTGCAACCTACAATGGAATGTGTGTCACTTTGGTTGAGCAGGCTGCAGCTATTTGCTACAATGGCTGTTGTGTTGTTGAGGTTTCCAACATAAAGCTTTTGTGTGTATTATACTTGCAAGTGGGCTGAGCTATATCAGATAAATATGGATGCAGATATGTGTAGGGACGTTGGTGGCTATTTGCAAGTCATTTCATCATGTCCTGGAAGCAATCACTGTGTGTGTCCATGCGTGTAGGGTTAGAGGGTCACCTTACTCAATGGACATTATTGTTTTGTCTCCTCCTTTCCACCCACCTAGACCCTAGTCGCCATTCAAACTAACTCTTAGAACTTTACATCTCTTTACAATCTAAACCTTTTTTCAAATAGCATCAATAGGGGTGAAGAATGGGGAGGAGACATTCAGTAAATTGTCACAGTCAGGAATCACTCTCACTTTGTCTAATGATTTACCAAGCCGGGTGCACAGATTTACTTTGGACAGTTGTTATATCATAAACTCATAAAGACAATTGCATGATGTCACATTACTGGAACCACAAAGTGCTATAAGTCTATTATGTTCTGTTACACAAATACCCCAAATAAGCAAGTAAAGTTTATTTTTTGTATTGCGGTAGTGTGCTGTGGTTTGTTTTCTTTATAGTTGCCTTTACTGGGTACATTCACATCACTTCAATCAGATTATTTGACATTTCTTTCTAACCATTTGCTGGCATTACTTTATTGCTCAAATTTTCACAAGCAATTTAAAGATCCATTTTCAGATTTTACTTGCTTCATTGTCCTCCTCCCGTGTGTAGTTTCACCCCCATCTTTGCAAACCGGCCTGAATGAGGTAATGATGGAACAGCCTTTCCCTCATCTGGATCTAATATATGGACTTGTGTTCATATAAACGTGGGTGGGTCTTCAGTGGATGTTTAAATGGCCTGAGTGGAGCAGCCCATTTGTGCGCACTGTTTGGACATTTCCACTGCACAATCAAACTAGGATAATTGTTACGCCTTTCATCTTCTTTTCTCAATATTTTCCTTTCTGCTGTTTGTCTTTCCTCTCTCCCTTTCCTGTCCTATAGGGTTGCAGATGCCAGATGGAGTACTCAGATTTTCTTTTTCTTTTTTTTCCGACACACCCTGATAAAATCTTTCGCTTGCTCTCTGGGGAAGTTGGTTGCGATTCTTGAATTCCCCCTTCGTTCACATATGTGCAAGTGGGATTTGTCTTTACTGCCTCTCTCACTAGCTGCAAATGTCAGTGCTGGTTCTTCAAACATTTAAACATCCTACTTCCTTATTATCCATTTTCCTTTGATGAGCCCAGTCAGTACTCTTTATCTGATGGCCTTGATATGTTTTGCTCTTACACTTCAGTACGCATTTGACCCAAATTTTACTACTTCTAATACTGCGTAAATGGTACTGAGGGATTGCTTGGAACAAAAGATGCGTAGCTAGTAATAGAAATATTTCTATTTTTTCACGTTTCCAGAAATTGAATTTGACTTTAAGATAAATGCCTGTTTTTTTCTTGATGTATACTGAATGAATGAAGGACTCTGTTTTGCCTGATTTGATATGGGAACAATCATTATCCAGATAATAACTGATAGTAAAAGCAGTATAAAAAACAAAAAAATAGTATAGATAACAAAGAATCACATAAATAGGACACATTTTGACCTTTCCTGAATAGCTGAATATCATAGACCGATATTTTGACTGATATTTTCTGTGAAAACATTCTATACATATGTCCTATTTTATCATATTTATACTAGTTTTTATTATGATTGTAGTATCGAAATCCTTATTGAGGTTTTTTCTTATTATAAAAATCGAGTTGGACACTTATCATGACAACACTAATAATAATAGATTCAAATGTATTCAATTTTCATTAATCTTACTTTGCCCAAGAAAATGACCCCTGGAACATAAACAAAAACTACTTATCACATATTATTGGAATGTAATATCAGGTATGACCAGTTAATAATATGAATCCCTGTTCCTTGAGCTGTAGAAGATTACTGGGCTATTGCAGCATCGGGCCAGTGCCTTTGTAGTAGTTACTCATAGTTACTGTTAGCTCTAGTTCCAATCACTAAACCTTCATGTATAACCACTAACATATGTGATTCATACGACTGTTACATAAATAAACTTAAACATGAACTTCTTTTAGCTCCTATATCATTCCTTTATAGATCACTCATGCTTTATGGTTATGAAAGAGGGAGTGTCTTTGAATGAGTTGTGAAATTTTAAATCTGAAACTGGCTTGTTTGTGTGTGTGTGTGTGTGTGTTTATGTCTATGTATGTGTGTGTATGTTTAGGCTCAATGGTGATTATTAGAGGAGGGGCTGCCTTTATGGGTGACATGCTGCTGTGGAATTTCCCAATCAGATCCAAAAGAGCTTATTGGTTTTAACAAAGTGCCGAGTCTGAGAGCAGAGTCGTGTGCGGTTTCTGAGGCTAACTTGAGATCTTCAGCTGTAAAAACACTGCATCCTCCTTTTCCCATCACAACATATTTCCACTCCTCTGAGCCCACTTCCTTGTTCTTTTAATAATATGGCTGAGTTAGGGATGGTCCAATATTTGTCATTCTGTAGTAGCTGATAGCTGCTTTTTGCCAGTGTTTGTGTTAATATTTTCAAATGTATAGCAAGTAAGAATTGAAAGCATTTTTTAAAATACATTGCTCTTCCATTTTAAGTCACTGTCTGTTTAAAATTACACATTAGATACACAAAAGACACACTTGGAATGACACACAGGCATGAATGGGCAGCTTAATAAAAATACTGGCACTGTATATCAAGATATTTTCTTATTGGACCAAAACAATTTATGAAATTAATGCCCAGTCTTGATAATATGCTATGGGATCCAATGAATTCTTCTCATTGTTTGTATATCTGTTGAATATCTTCTTCAAAATCTCATTAACATTCTGCTCTGGTGCAAAAGAAGCTCTCCAAATGTCCCACAGAGCCTTCATTGAAATGGACACAGGCGGAATCACTTGAGTTTGTCCTCGGATGTCTCACACATACAAAAAGCTGACAGAGCATCACATGACACTAAGGGCCGGTCAGCAGGACAAGAGTCACTAGAATGCATTCATTATTGTGTCTCTGACGTGGTCCCCTGTCCCTGCTTTCTCAAATCTGATAATTCACACAGATTGCAACATATATATTACGTACTTCCCCTGCCTTTTAAACATGCTATCTTGCTATGTCTTTTATGACTCTTGACTAATAATTGACTAAATCTATTGGAAATGTTTTTCTAAAGAGAGCAGAAAGGGAGCAGCTGTGAGCGACACTGGATATTTTTTTTACTGGTATTATTTAAGGATAGATATTACCTATTCGCCAGGTCATTGTGAAAACATGTGCTTTTGGTTAGCTGAGAATTTAGACCCCCACAAGCTACACTGTGATTCAAAAGTGTTATTTTTTTATTTCAGTGCTACTTTCCTTTATCATTGTTGATATTCTTGTCTTCTTCCCACTCTTTATTTCTGAGCTCTAGTAAGAAGAAAATATATACCGGTACATGTGAAAAGTACATTGAAATAACAAGTATACTTATTGTTTTCATTATTTAGCTTGAAATAAATAAATAAAATGAAAGGAAATGAACTTGTTTTAGTGAGTCAGACAAAATAATTTATGTACACTGTACACATGTATATTTTGAATTTCATCGAGTTTAGGCGTCGCTGGTGTACTTTGAGCGATGTATCAGATCCTGATATTAAACTGTGTCACCACTTTTATTTCTTTTTGTTACCGTTATCAGTCACAATTTGTTGATTCAAATCTTTTTTTTTCTTTTTTTTCCCCCAGGCTTTGTGCATAAACGTGCAGGGTAGTGATGTTCTGGAGACATTACGTCTAATCTTCTGTGGGGCGGATGTCAACTGTTCGACTGGTGTGCCCGAATGTCCATCCCCACTCACATTGGCTCAAGCAAGTTCACAGCCTCTTCAAGCGGAGCTCATAAGCCACAATCTCAACACAGGTGGGCTTTGTATTGAGATAATAAAGATGAATTGGATTTCTTATGTAATAGATAAGCCTATGTCCTGTCAATCATCATATTATCTTTTTTCATTTTCTTTACTACCTCTTGTATATATAGCTGAGATATTGTTATTTTATTTTTATTTTTATGTATATTTATATTTATTTTTATTTTTCAATTTTATTTTTTCTTATGCATATACTGATGTGTGTATATGTACAAGCTACTGTGTCCAAGTAATTTTTTCCTTTTATTACTTTATTTGTCAATAAAGTATGTTTAAGTCTAAGAAACTGTTAAAAAACCATCAAAGAGATGTTGATTAGTTCAGTTTGAGTTAATTCATTGAAAGAAGACCACATGGATGATATTTTTCTCTCCAAAATAAGGGATGGGACAATGAACAATAATATCGTTGATCATGCTAAAAACGGTAGCCAATAATCGTTTCTGGGACATTTCATATAATTGGATAATCACCAAGAAAGATCATCTGCATTTTATCACCAGAATGTGCAGGAAAAAGCTTTATGGTCTCTTCTAGATCACTGTCATTTTCACTTATAGTTAAGTACAATTCTACAACAGTTGTTTAACATGGAACCTATTCATAATATTAAAATTCTTCTTATAATTATTCATATCCATAACATTTTAAACGGTCAGCAACTTTAATGATTATTGTGATATAATCGTTAATCTAATTATTCTGGTCTTGACAATCGTGACACCAAATTTCAATATCATCACATTCCTATCCAGAATAGTTATGTCATTCTAGATTAATACTTGTCTAAAATTTAAATGAGCCTCACTGCTGGTATTTACTCTACATGAAAACCTGTTTGCTGGGTTAACTGGGTCATACTTAATTACCATACTGTTTTTACAGAACTGCCCCGATCAGAAGTAGGTGACGTCGCTGCCACAATGTCGTACTCAGCACCATCCAGTGTTTGCCTTAATGGCTTTTTGTTCAAGACCGCTTCAATGACACGGGCAGTCACAGATCGCAAAGCAAAAGAAGGTTTGTTTCATTTGTTTATATTGTATAAAAATCTATTTATATTTATGAATTTAAGTTTTTATATAAAACATGGTCTGGTCTGGGTACAGAGATAGAAGAGTTTAACTCTATTGTCATATTGCACTTTCTCCATAACAGTGTTGGTTGTACTTTGTATTCTTGTTGTTTCATTACTGTTGTTGGTATGTGCAGCTTTCCTGTACCATTGTTCGTATTTTTGTCCTTACCATTGCTGATATGTTTTTCTTTTGTTGGAAGACAGTGGTGGGATTATATACTGTAAGTTTTTGTTGTCCCACTTACTCTCCAGTAAGAAAAAAAATATAAATATATATGTGAAAAGTACATTGAAATATCATGTATACCGGTACTTCTTGTGTTCATTAATTTGCAATTCAGTGAAAATTAAAAACTAAACAAAACAATATTAGACATTAGAATAAGCATTTTTAAAGTGTATTAGGCTTGTAATAAGATGGGCTTGTTACCAACTTTTGAGTTCTTTACCACTAAAGTGAGTCAGAAAAATCATAATTTCAAGTATTTATGCACACATGTATGTTTTGAATTTCATCCAGAGTTTAGCCGGCGCTGGTGCACTTTGAATGATGGAACCTTCAGTTATTATGAAAGTGACAAGAACTCAAACCCCAATGGATCTTTAAAGGCCTCGGAGATTGTGTGTTTATCAGTTGGCACAATCACTCATGGGTAAATGTTATCACACATTTATATATTTATACCAATATTTTTTATAATAATGCATAAATACATAAATACATTTTCTTCTGCACAGGTATAACCATACATTTGAACTGTACACAGAAGCCGAGCGTCTGTATTTGTTTGGCACAGATGATCCTGACAACTACAAAGAATGGATCAAGTCCATCGCAAAGGTGTGATTTAGAGAAACTCAGATAAGACCAAGATGGTTTTAAGTCTTTAGAGAAGAATGAAAATGACAGTGTATAGAAGGAAACATTTCTTATGGTTAGGATAAACAGTTGTTGACGGTAATGAGTTACAGCCTGATGTATTTTGAATTTGAAGCCCAAAGAGGTGTTTGAGGAAAACATCTAGGGTAAAATCAACTTCATGTCACTGTATTCAGAGATCACATCTATCTTAAAGTGAGACTAAACACCTAATCTCCACCCACAACCACATTTCAAATAAAGATGCTAACTTGAGCTGAAAAGTAAAGATTGAGGCAGTAGGATGGGTGGGTTTTGGCCACTTGGGGTAGGACAAACCTAGATTTGACAATAATGCTGCAATTTTACCTAGTTTGCACTGAAGTTGCTGAAAATGAGTAGGAACAGTACAGTATGCTTTTAAAACATCATGTATACACACACCATTTAGAAGCAAAAAAGTGGATTTAGTTTATTACAGTTTAAAAACATATAACGTAGAGGAAAGAGGATACTGACAATAAGAAAAAAAGAAAAGAAAATATTTGTGTATTAACAAAAACATAAATGTATGCGTTAAATACAGTGTAAATAACCATACTAACAGAACTTTTAATTCTCTTAATTCTCTGTAATTCCATTTTTAAATTTTCAGTGTTGATATCTTCTTTCTTAGAGCATTATTCCAGCCAGTGCAGAGCCTCTACTACGGTTGGATTTTGTCCGAATTGGGAGGCTGAGGTGTAAAGGTGGCTTGAATCTGGAAACATCCAAAGTGGGTTGGTTTGCACTGGAAGGCGCTCAACCTTACACGCATACATGGAGAAGGGCCATATAGAGGAAATAAATCTTCGCAAACTAACTGAACTATGTGAGTAAATCATAATTAATGTGTGCATAAATATTGCATGTGCTGTGCATTCAAAGCATACTTCATATAATGGACATCTGCTAATATAAATGTCATTCATTCTGTTTCAGCAACCCAGGCAGACGTGCTAGTTCTGGTGGAAAAGGGCAGGTAAAGAAACAATATCTCCAATATGTTAAAAGAATAGTTCATTTACTCTTTCCGACTCATGTTTCATTCTATAATAAATGGTAAAATGGAAACTGTCACATTTTTATATAGCGCTTTTACACCTTCAAGGCTCTCAAAGTGCTTTACACTTTGCTCAACCAGTGATGTTTATGTTGAGAGCAGGATTTGAAATGCTAACCTTTGGATCAGTGGATAAACTCTCACTGATTTTGTAACATTTTCATATTTCTCAGGACCCTGTACATTGAGGTGGAGAGGAAGCTGGACTTTTCTGGCTGGTGTGAGGCCATTACAAACGCAGCGCAGAGTGGAGCGGACACCCTGAGCGAACAGCAGCTCACAGAGACAGACATCCCCGTCATAGTTCACAGCTGCATCGGCTTCATCACACAATATGGTGATATACTTTTTCATTCTGGTCAATGTATTTTGATCAAACACAACTGTATTTTGGAGCAAGCCTTCTGACACCACAAGACCACAAATTATAGGCAGAAGGTCTGAACATTTTACATGGTTTATATTCCAGTGTCGAGACAACATTTACTCTCCTTTATTTAAATTACCATTGTCATTGCCTGACAGGTTTATGTGATGTTTAGTTTTTTGTGTCTGTGAATTAAAGGTGCACTGTATGGCCGTGAAGATAAGCAGATGATCCTCCCTCAAGCAAAGTTACAGATTAGATCTATGGAGACATGTCACTGCTTACACTAATAGATGTTTTTCCATGTTTTTTAGCAATATAAACACCAATATTATAATACCATAGTGAGGAAAAATTCAGGCAAAGCAATAACATATTCATGGAGATGAGCTGTTGCTAGAAAAGTTACATAGTGCACTTTTAATAATGAGCAGCTTGTAAAGAATGTAATATGTACTTTATCTGTAATTCCCATGTACTTTGTACGTGTGCAGGTCTGACATCGGAGGGCATCTATCGAAAAAGCGGGGTGAACTCTCGGGTCAAAGCACTTTTAGATAAATTCCGATCAGATGCACGCAGCATTTGTCTGAGGGAAGAAGACAATGTGGTCGACGATGTCTCCAATGCACTCAAGCGATTCTTTAGGGAATTGGAAGAAGGGCTGTTCACAAAAGAGGAGGGCCCAAACTGGCTCCAAACATCCAGTACGTTTATTACTCTTCTACAACTACAATTGACACACAGAATGAGCATTTATTTATGTTTTTCTCTTTCAAATCTGATTTTTCCATTATTTCTTTTCAACTTCCACCTTAAGTTAGTTTGAAAGTGGTTGAGTTTTTGTCATACCCTCCCTTTAAGTTCCTCTTATCCTCATTCAGCCGTTCAGGACAAAGACACCAAAGTATCTCGATATCAGCAGCTGCTAGACATGCTTCCACCTGTCAATAAGGCCACGCTAGAGGCTCTCATAAACCACCTGTATTGGTAATACTTGCACACATGCTTATTTTTGTCTTGGCATGCCACTGTAAACTAAAATAATTACTGCTATTTTTTTGACAGTGTTCAATGTCATGCGCATATCAACCAGATGAACATCCATAACTTGGCTATAGTGTTTGGCCCCACACTTTTTCAGACTGATGGAAAAGACTACACTGCAGGCCAAGTGATAGAGGACCTAATAGAACACTACACAACCATCTTCGAGGTAAGAGTTCAAGGTCCAGAATTTAGACTCAATTTTTTTTCCATGTTTGGAAAGAAAAAATATAAAATATTCCCAAACTGAGATAATACATGTAATTAACTCTAAATACTGAGGGCTGTATTTAAACCAACAGGTGTTTCAACAAATATTTTAGGCTGTGTGCCCTTATCTAACAAGATTATTCTTGTTTGTTAGGACTAGATGTTTCAGTTTACTGGCACTATGCATCCTGTAAACATCAAACACAAACTTCTTGCAGCTATTTCGGTCCTTTTGTTTATTTCGGTTCTGCAGTGTCACGATGAAAAGATTAGAGTAGTTACTGTTAGGGATTTCCCTCTTGAGTTCAAAATATTAGATGATAATAGTTTTAAATGAAGACCACCCAAGAACAGGATTTCGTAATGTGTGTGTGTGTGTGGTTTTGTGATATTTTGTGGTCTATACATCAAAATGATACAACAGATCTAAACTACACAATGCGTTGAGGAATGTAAACGGTGACTTACGGTAATTGTAGCACTGTGCCAAATAATTATGGCAAGTGTACATGTGTGTTTGCAGGTGAATCAGACACAGCTAGCCAAACAGTTACAGGAAATCGAGGTGATTATTCGGCTGCGGGAAACCTTGAATAACAAGTTTACAGTAAGTGCAATGTGTCGCTAAAATCTGCTTATATTCTGTTTCATTATATTTTATTCATTTTGGCTTTGCTTATATCAGGCTAACACTCAAGGAGGACACATCATCTGTACAGTGTATCTTGAGGAAAAGAGTCTCACAGAGCATCATGTCAAGGTATTGTACCAGTGTGAATTCAGCATCAAAGAAAGGAGATGCACACAAGTCATCTTAATGCATCTTTATTGTTTTGTCAGATCCCTGGCTCGATGACAGCAGCAGAACTTACATGGGAAGTTTTAGATATACGAAAAATCCCTGCAAAGGACAAGGATTACTGGAGCTGTTGGGAGATCAATGAAAAAGAGGAAATGGGTGAGACATAAGTTAATAAGTAAAGAACCTGTATTTGTTGGAACTCTATTTCTAATATTTAACTGTGTCAAATGTATGTGTACTTTGTTAGAAGATTCAAATTTGAACTAAAAACTCAATATAATCATGGACATTTCAAAGAACATAACATAGATGGTCATTCTTTATTAAGAGTTTGAGTAGAAATTTGAGCTCTTAAGACATCGAAACTGCGAGGTTTGCCTGTCCCTCTGAGCATTGGGGCTGTGAGCTCAGGTTTGAGGCCTGCAATGTGGGCCATCTGGTTCCTTTGCGAGAACGCTGGAGGTGTACTGTCAGCTGCCGGTAAACCTCCTCTGATATGGCAGTTCATCAAACATCCTCCATGAAACGACGAGCAGAATGTTTGAAGAATGTTGTCCGTTTTGTTTATGATAATATGATGAGGTCTGATGGGGTTATGAAAACAGTTCCAAAAACAGTTGGTAATAATCTTATCCAAAAGATGCCAGGCAGCCTTTTTCAAGCTCTTGAATAGCTTGTTTATATTTCAACAAACATTGTAATTCCTAGAAATATGAAGTTGTTTTTCTTTTTTGACAGAACGCCCTCTACACTATAGGGAGCGTGTTTTACCAATCCTCCACGCCTTTGGCACAGATTCCAAACTGCTCATCAAGAAACACCAGAGCATGGAGGCAATGTTATCCTATTTGGGTAAACCAAGTGCTAGTTTTATATTTCAAACTATTTTAATATTCAAGAATTTAAGATTATTATTCTGATCTTTAGCCAGTAAACCAGATACCTCTAAACACGGCAAGATGAAGTTCAGAGATGGGAAGAACATTCCAGGACTTGGACGCTTCTCTTCAGGCTTCCACGAAAAATATTTTACTCTCACGGCCAATTCTCTGAGAATGTACAAGGAAGTCACAGTAAGACTGATCTTTACTGTAATGCAGATGTTGTGATAATGCGACTCATACTTGATGTTTGCCTGACAGAGTAATCGACCAGAAAATGAGTGGACTGCCAAAAACCTCACGGTGTACATGGGTATTAAGAAGAAACTCCGTCCACCTACTTGGTAAGGCCAAACAAGTTGATACTGTAAAGCTCTGTCACTCATGTGCCTCAACTTGCCTTTTAAATACACCTTAAACACCTTAAACCAACACCAAAGGTGCATTATGTAACTTTTCTGGAGGGTCCATCACTTGCTGGTTTCTACGGAGATGTTACTGCTTTTATTAAAATTCTGCTGCCTGGCATTAAGCTTTTTAACTATTGCTTTTTAACAGAAAAGTAGCTTGAACTGTGCCTTTACTGATAAGAATACAATCAAAAATACCCAAGCTAATCACTGACGATTACAAATGAATGAATCTCAACCTTGATTCAAATTAAATTAATTGCCAAAATCTAGAGCACCTTAATATTATGTAAATATATTTTAGTTCCTATCAACTTGCAGTTACTATAATGATGTCCACTAGATGGCACCCTTAGACCAAAAGTGTACCATTTAGACTTAGTAACTAACATGAAAATTTTTATTTTTTTTTTTCCGTCTCTCTCTTTCAGTTGGGGGCTCACACTGGTTAGTGAAAGTAAAAAACAAGACAAGCAGGAAAAACAGCAGTGGTGAGTGCCTCTTTATGAACTTTTCCAGTCAACAGCAGACGTTTAATTGTTTGTCCATATAGAAGAGGAAATGAGATTGCCATTATAGGTCCATTTGCGTTAATCTCGTGTCAATGGGCACAAGAGGGCTGTCCACTCATAATTTGCTAATGTCATTTTTCATTTCCCTATGTCTTGTGTTGCGCTTCATGCAGCTTTTAATGAGTAAATGAGCCAGTGCAGCTCGATAACAGTATTGACCTAGGAGAAAAATATACACTTATATATACACTGTGGATAATCATAACAGTTTTGCAGCAAGTTTAGGGTCAGTATTTATCATTTACCACGTACTAGTAGTGACTGTCCTGGATTTAAAAGCACGTATGTATTGGAGCAGCTGTGGAAGAGTAGTTATAGTGTTTGATCACCAATTCCACAAATCCCAGCTTGGACTAATCAGTTTACTGATGTTGTATCGTTGGGCAAGATTCATCACCCACCTTGCCTGTGTCAATGTGGTGTTTGTGTGGTGGTGTTTGGTGGCAGATGGCACAGACTGGCAGTCTTGCTTCTATCAGTCTATCCAATAGCAGCTGTGAAGAGCATTTTCAGTAGGAACAATATAAATTCAATGCATTATTGACTATGTAAGAGAATCTTCAATCACTCACTATCTGTAAGTCATCCTTATTGTAAACTCACTTGTTGGCATTGGCTACAATACTGTTTTTCTTTTTGGCAAATGTCTATTAACATTATTATGTGTGTATATAGTCTGCACACTTGGCGTTGTGTTTCTAGTAGACTTTGTACTGTCAACAGCAGTCGGCCTCAGTGCTGGAGCAGTGGCAGTGCTGTTCTCGTCACGCCGCGGGCGGTATATCATCTCTTGGTTACGCTTCATCACAACGTCCCTCACAGCTCCAAAACACACCTGAGAGGAAGAAAGCAGGAGGGAGGGGGGCAAGTCTGGAGGACAGATAAAAAAGAGAGGAAAGTGGGAGCAAAAGATGCTTTGGGGAGGTGCTTTTTATGACGAAAACCAGGGCTAACATCTGCTGCAGGTAAAAGTTCTTAGAAATAAGAAAAGTAAAGTTATGGGAATGAGTAGGGTTTAGAGTTGTCAAGAAAATGATACCCAGATACTAAAACTAGTATCAAATCAAAAACACTGTCCACTTAACTACTTAGAACCATATAAGTTAACTTAAAGCTGGTCAAGGCTAATGGGCTCCAGTAGTATGGACAGATTTTATTTTATTTATTGTTTTTATTTAATTATTATTGATCGTTTACTATTGTGTAGAATCTATAATTGAAAGTCTGATTGTAAAAGTGATAGGTTGACGTGATTCATGGCAGGTTTGCACTAGAACCCAATGAGCTCTGTGGCCCAAATGAACTGGACTTGAGAGTTGTGAGGAGAATGTGAGATGTAGGTACATGTGCTATACTCCAGACTTAGTCGTGTTAGTAGAGCATGAAGTGCTACATATTGTTTTGTATTTATTGATGTTTTGTTGTCTCTCTGGTGAGTGGTTGCGTAATTGTTTAGTCTCAATGTGTGTTCATCACACTAATAATCGTGTAAATATAGCCTGTTTGTTCAGCATCACAGCATAGATGATGACTCACTGGGCTCTACAAGTGTCATAAAATATGCACAAACACAGGCAGACACCACAGAGGCTGCCTCCATGCGCCCAGACCTTAAAAATTATAAAGGTCTCAATCAGCCAGCCTCTCCCAGGTTTCAGTCAGGATTTGTTCTCTCAATCAGGCAATGAGAAAAACTCTGCTATAGTAATGTCTGCTTTCCTTCTGCAAAGACCTGTTTTGTTGTTTATGTGCAGGTATGTGTGCTGTGAGACTCAGTCAGACCTGAGGGAGTGGTTTGCTACTTTTCTCAGTATACAGGTAAGTTTTATCCACATAAGTAAGTTCTTGTATGTAGCATATATGCTATGGTTGATGTTTCACAAAACATACGTTAATGAGTTCATAGCAGGAGTGCCCCGCGGGTGTCTCTACATGCTATGTCTCTTATTCGTCATGTATGACCCCTGCGGTGTGTGCCTGTCTCATTACAGTGTGAGGGAGACATGTGGCCTGAGGATGGACAGAAGCACACGCGGGTGAGCCGCGCGCTGCCGGACATGCACCATGGTAACGTGTCACTGATTCCACTGCGTGGCAGTGAAAACGAGATGCGGAACAGTGTTGCAGCTTTCAGCCAAGACCCGCTTGGTGTGAGTCAACAATCACAGGGGCTAATCAAGGGGAAGCGGGCCGCTCCGAGAGGAGCTGCCGGCTGTGCTGAGAGACTGAACAGGTGGCACATGCCCTTTGCCTTTATCTGTCAAAGGCTAATGTGGACTCATTTGTACATTAGCACCATTATTTCAAGTCCATGTAGTAATTTGCATGTCCTTTCAAAAATCCTTGTATTTGGAGATTAATTAAAATTGAGGTGGTTTTGAAAATGCTGGACATGGTATTTTTATGCCTGTGCGGTGCCTGTGCAGTCTCTCTGTTTTGTGATTTCATATAATTTAACACTGATTGGATTCTAAACTAATATTTAATTCAACATATCTCACTGTCTAACTAATTATAACACAATTAATAATAACACAAAATGTGGTCTGGATTATGAATGCAAATTACATGCTAAGGGGCTTCAACACAGACTTATAGACCAACTAAATAAAGTAAAAATAGAAGTAGGAAAAGTTTTACTCTTAGGAAGCAACTTGGATCAAATTAGGTCTGAATATGACTAACCTATAGATTGGCTGCATCTTTTCTAGCCTTGCATAAAGTCAGGCCTCACCTGCATTACTGTTTTCCCATCAATCCTCTTATTTTCATCTCAAAATTGTGTGCAGTCATCCAAAATAATTCACTCTGCTGTGAGTCCGGGAGCTCTGGGACCAAATGTCTGTAATATGATGATGCAGTTGTCCCCTCCCGCTCCTTCTTGCAATCACACAGCTCTTATTATGTTTTTCAAGTCTCTGGCAGCACTTAAGCATTCCCTCCTGTGTCGACTTTCCCATCAACCATGCGGAGAAGTCGGGGCCAGTTTGTTGTGGCCTTGCAGATAGTTTGTATTGATTCCCAGCCTCTTGGCACATAACATTTTTGTGAAGGTGTGATTGCTTTGGTGACGGTGCTGTGCGGGAGCCTACATTTGATGCTGTGGTCTGTGTGAGAGAGTGGTCTGGTTCACTGCATATTTATGTCCAGTTTCAACCGTCAAGTGAAAGAGGGAATCTATGGAACACTAGCCGCGTGTGTCAAAGCTTGGGGTTGTTTGTCTCTGATGCACTGACAGTTCATATAAACAAGAGTACACCTATTTCTGTGTGTGTGAGACAGAGAGAAACAGATGAGATGGCTGGGTGATTCTGTTTATGGTTCTCAAGGTGAATGCAATGATTGTTGACAAGACTGAATGTTAATGCCACTGGACCAGACCACTCCATATCTGTCTGAGTTTTGAACACACTGCATGTTTAGTTGTAGATTGTTTTTTTCGTGTGGTTTTCATCCCAGCTATGGAACACTGGACCAGCTCTATACTCTCCATCGGATGCTCGAGGGCTCATGGGAGTTTGCCGAGCCAGTCCACATGTGCTTTGTGGACCTGGAGAAGGCATTCAACCGTGTCCCTCATGGTGTCCTGCGGGGGGTGCTCCGGGAGTATAGGGTCCCGGGCCCATTGTTAAGGGCTGTCCGGTCCCTGTATGACCGGAGCAGGAGCTGTGTTCGCATTGCCGGCAGTAAGTCAAACCTGTTCCCGGTGCATGTTGGACTCCGCCAGGACTGCCCTTTGTCACCGGTTCTGTTCACTGTGTTTATGGACAGAATTTCTAGGCGCAGTCAGGGGCCGGAGGGGGTCTGGTTTGGGAGCCACAGGATCTCGTCTCTGCTGTTTGCAGATGATGTTGTCCTGTTGGCTCCATCGAATCAGGACCTGCAGCACTGGGGTGGTTTGCAGCCAAGTATGAAGTGGCTGGGATGAAGATCAGCTCCTCCAAATCCGAGGCCATGGTTCTCCACCGGAAAAAGGTGGTTTGCCCTCTTCGGGTGGGTGGAGAGTCACTGCCTTAAGTGGAGGAGTTCAAATATCTCGGGGGTCTTGTTCATGAGTGAGGGGAGGATGGACCGTAAGATTGACAGGCGGATCGGTACTTTTTACTTTACTGGTCAATCTACATTCCTACCCTCATCTATGGTCATGAGCTTTGGGTAATGACTGAAAGAATAAGATTAGATGGAGGAAGTGTCCGGGGTGAACGGAAGTCTGGGAGTTCCTGCTTAAACTGCTGCCCCTGTGACCCTGCCCCGGATACGCGGAAGAAAATGGATGGATGTTTTTCCTATGTGTATTTCTCTCTGTTTTGGTCTTAATCTGTTTTTATGTTATATTTTAGATATTTAGAGATGTTCGATAGTGGAATAACTGCTTGAAAAGAAGGTAAGATCCCATAGTTTATTTTGGAGTACATTTAGTCAATCAGTAATACAGTGCCAGTTTACCTTGAAGATGCACAATGCAACTTTTCAAATGGGGAAGGGTCTACTGATGCTTGTCTCCATGTTATTTGAGATGATCTGGAATCCATGTTATGGCATTAAACATATGTTAACTGTGAGTGGTGTCACCTCTCCACAGATCTGACCTATAAACCGGCCTGGTAGTGTCACCTGCTTGTTTCCATAGAAAGAGATGCATCAATTTAATGTTGCATATTCTTGGCAAAGCAATAGCATTTCTCTGGTGGCTAACCCTTCACCTTAAGCAGCAGTTCTCCCTTTTTATGCTATTGTCTAAGAAATTATATACCTTTCCATGTTCCACCTGTCAATCAAATGATTGTATATTGAAAAGTAGGCCAGCCAAGCCTTATTGCCTGATTTAATTACATAACCATTACCATTGTTGGCTGGTTACAATTACTGTGACTGAAAAAATCCATTGCCCACTCATCCACTTGTCTCATATAATTGCCATGAGTGTGTACATCTGTAGTTGGGATGAACATTTTAAGTGTAAACTCTCTATTGAGTTTGAAACTACTGTGAAATTGTCTTTGGAGTTGGAAGTGAAAGAGCCATGCTGACTTCTCCATGGCTGGTCCACTGTGAAAGATTGATCCTTCATCCACCATCACTGAGCTCTGTGTGTTTTCTTCACAGGATGGAAGAAGTCACGGCTCCCCTCGCCACACGCTAAAGCTGTAAGGAAAATGGAGAGCCATTCAAAAGTCTGGGACCAGAACTAAACACATCCTTAGACTTTTTATCACTTAAAGCACCAACAGTGAGATATCTTTCTACAGTAACCTTTTATAGACTACAGTGAGAGTTACTAAACAGCTCAAATGGCAGCCTTTGCTCAGCTGTTCTTTGGGGTTTGTATCATCTATGTTGCATCATTTATAGATGCATGAAGGACATTTTAGTTTTACTTTTCAGAAAACATTTATGGCCTCAAGTTATCAATCCATGCGCTAAACTGCGAGTGAACTGAAAAATAGCTTGTGCAATTTATGGATGTGTTGCACGTGATTTAGCCTACGCGTATAATTTCTGCCGCCAAACTAATGTAAATGAAAGCATTCAGCGAGTGCAAAAGCACTGCCTGTACTCCTGTGGTTATTGATTTGTGAAGCAAATTTACATATAGCAGGGGCGTCCAAACTTTTTTCATAAAGGACCACATATATTTGAAGCAGAGGGCCAAAGACAGGTGGTCGATACAATAAGTCATTCAGATAGGTGCATTTAACATATCTTACAGGGCCACTGTACCTTTTAATAAGGCATGGAACTAAAATAATTGGTCTGTGTCTGGTCTAAGAGTTTATAATTGAAGAATTATTTAAATTTGCAATGAAAGATCACCTTATGATCATTTTGGCCAATTTAGCGGGGGATTTGAAGGCCAACAAAAATAGCTCTGGGGGCGCATTTGGACACCCCTGATGTTTAGCTTTGGAATTCAGAAGCATCTGAAAGGATTTTGTGAATACTTTAAACAGCAGGTTAACCAGCATTATCCTTTTTGGTTTGGACCTAAACGTGGGATGATGGATCGTGGAAATACATGCATGAAAATGCACACGTAGTTGTAATAATTCTAGCAGCGCCCATTAAACAATTTCATTTGCATTTCCCCCACCTCAGATTTTGCTCATAGGAGCAAAATTGCGCTGCGTCTTCTTTAGACTTGCGTCAGGGTTTGCTCCAATTTTAGTATGTTTAGCTGTTTAGCACATGACCAGATGCTTGATAAATGAGTGCCTAATGTATTATTTAGTATAAAAATAAGTATATGTATATGTTGATGTCTGTTTAGCTCTTTTCTAAAATGTGCTATTGTGAGCCAAGCTGATGTCATGGAGGCAGCAGTACGATTTTTTGCAGTGTTGGTGTATTTGGACAAAGGCTTGGTGCTACTGAAGGATAAAGTCTGTTACTTACTACTGGCAGAATCATTTTTGACTAAAGTTTTGCATATCATCATGTAAAGATGGAAATGGCATAAAAAGTGCCTTTTCGTGTTCAGGCAAGGATTGTTTGGAGAGAATTGTACCGAAGGATGTTCCGTATGTAGATGGCCGCAACTTAAGTTACTATATTTGGTTTTGTGTATTTTAAATAAATCCCCAGCTAGTATAAACTCTTTAACAGCTTGGCACATGGCCAAACTCAACAAACTTACTAGCTGCTGGTAACTAAAATAGTCAATTGAAATCCATGAAGATGTCTGAACTCTCAAAAGCTGTGCTTCTAACAGGACTAGACTGCCTTCCTTGTTGCCATTCACCTGCATAGCTTATAGTATATTGTATTATAGCTTTATTTAAATCATATAAGCAAATGTATAGCTGCAAAACATGATAAGAACAGTGATGGTTCACCACTTTAGATGAAAATATTTGTCATGAATTAACTTTTCTGTATGATATCAAAGCCTGTAGCTACTGTTATTGCTGTACTGTTCATAGGTATATGTAAAGACACTTATTTATTTTAACATATGCTACAGTAGGACACGGTCATTCAGACATGTTCCATTATTGGTAGAGTGACATCATGATGCCTAGTTACAGTACATACGGTCAGTTTTAAAATATATGTGTATTTTCAGCTAGTACCTGCATTTAGTAGTACTTGTACAGATTGCATTTGTTGTATAGTTTTATAGCTGTTATAACCTCACCAGAAATGTACATACAAATACATATATTAAATCACAAAACATGTTTCTTTTATTTGTCTACATTCACATCATTTGGACTATTTGGACTACTATTTCAGTTTAATTTAAAGTACTCCATTGTTATGGTATTTATTTTGCCATTTAAACCAATTATAGCCACAAAATGTAACAAAATGTGTGAAGACATTGTACTACAAAATGAAAAAGAGCTATGACAAAGCAGTGGAAACAACTGTACATCGCATTTGTTTATACACCACATCAAAACTGGAACTAAACCCGAAATTGAGTATTAGATTAAATATAGATTAATCCAGTGTGAATGCACTTTAAAAAAAAGTAAACCATGTCAATTGGTCTTAAAATGATTTAGTGGTATTCAATCTGGTTTCTGTGTTATTTTGTTATTTGAATCAATATACCCTCTGCAGTTAAATTATCAGCAAAACTATATAAATAGTTTTGCTCTCACTTCTTATACAGAATAAATATATCCTTTGTTTCCCTGCTTTTGCACCTCGGAGTCTCCAATAAACACATCTCCTCACTCGTAGTCTTCTGAAGTGTTGCTGCGGCTCTGGTGTTATTGCATCCCCCTAAGTTCATATTTTTTCTCAAACATGTTTTTCAAAAGGTTGGCTTCCCCCAGCTCTGCTTTGCCCTCTCTTGGTAATCCTCTTGTTTTTTCATTGCTTTTTATGAAATGAGTTTCTAAACAAATTCTAATCTGGCCTACAGGGGAACTGCATAATGTGTGGACTGTGCAATGGAACTGCAATATTGGTTCTCAAAATATGGGTTAAGTTCCAGTGGTGATACACACTGCCTTTGATTATTTGTTGGTTTTACTTTGTTTTCAGAAATATCAGTTCAAATGTAGCTAGGCTTGAAGGTCTGACACGGTTGAAATATAATATTACTGAAAAAAATATAGTCAAACAGAAATATTAAAACTAATTTATGGCACTGACTAGGGATGTAACAATACCCGAAATATCATGATATAATATTGTCAAAAGTCTCACAGTAATATCGTAGGCTGCCACAATATATTTAATCACAAGTTCCTTTGCTTAATTGCATGGTTTTATTGTAGGAACAGTTTATAAACATAAGGACATATCCCATGATTCATTTCAATGCAGACAACAGGAAATACGTTTTTTACTTGAATCCTTGGGATTATGGCGGTCATAATTCACACCCATCTACAATTATATTAGCCTCTTCAAAATATTGTAATAAATATCATACAGTGAGATTTGGGTATCCTTACATCCCTACCACTGACACAATATGACACAATTATTGCCCAAAAACTATTCTAAATGTATGAAATAAATTCAAAAACACATGACATGCTTATACACTTGCACTACTCATTTTTCTTTAGGATTCTGACATTGTGTGGATGGCTGAGTCCAGAACATGCAACGACCTAAACCTGAAGCTCATGAGTCTCCCATTTGTTTCAATGCTGAAATCCAGTTGGTTGAACCTACAAGGACAGAATCCTCATCTAAATCTAAAATCCATCACCTGAGACAATTCTGGAGGTTCTGAGAGTTCACATGAGCCATGGCCTGTCCATATACTGACCATGAGAAACACATGTGCGTGACGTCTATATGCAAGGTACTGGCAGCCCACGTTCAAGTTGTGATTTTAGTTTCTTTTTTAATCCAGTAGGAGTGTGGGCAATAGTTCCATTAGTTTCTGAAGTAGAATTGAAAATGTGGTACATGCAGCAAAAGTTTGAAGGCCTGTGCCCTTTAGAACCTGTCGAGTTGTCTTCTGCATGCGTCTTGATCTTGTACCATGTCATACCAAGTGCTGTGAGTAAAAATGTGAGGAGCACGTGGAGGAGTGCGTAGGTGGTACAGCCTTGGTGGTGGGAGCCCTGCGGAGCTCCTGGTTAGTCATTGTGGTCCACCAGTTCTCCTCATAAGCTGAGCTGACACAACAGGGTCACAGAGCACCCCGAGACACACACCGCCAACACCCCCAGCAGGCTGTGGGACATGCGAGACCTTCACTGTCCCATCCACGCGTACGGGACAGGAGCGCCACGGGGAAGGAGCATGCCTCAGTGTACACGCTAGAGTGGCATTAACTATATAGGTCGCAGAGGGATGGCATTAAGGCATACAGACTTTGAGTTTTGAGTTACAACTATTAATGGTCAAGGTTTATATTTATAAAGCACATTTAAAATACAGTCATCACTGCCCCAAGTACTGCAAAATTACTTAAAGTGATGTAACATTACTAAAAAGCATAATAACAGTGATAAAGTGCAGTAAATAGAACAGTGTTATAAAACAAGAAAATGGGAGGTAACAACAGTGTAAAAAGGTGAGTTTTCAATAGAGTTTGAGGCAGATTGATTGCTCATGGGGGCTATTCCATAGTTTGGGTCCAGCAACCCAAGGCAAGGCAAGTTTATTTGTATAGCACAATTCGTACACAAAGTAATTCAAAGTGCTTTACAGAATAAGAAATCCATTAAAATAATAATGAAAACAAATCAAAACATATAAACAAATATAAACACAACAATAATCATGAAGATTAAAATTTAAAAAAGAGAGACATAAATTGGAGAGAAGAGTGCAGAATGAATGAACCCAGTGTTTTAGTTACATGGTTATATATATAGTTATAAGATATTAAAAAGGGGATTATGTAAAATGAACTTTCATAAGCTTAAAAGTTATAAGTTATAATGTTTTCTTATCAATAACTTGCTCAAAGTTCTATTTGGCTTGTTTCATGCATGTTTGAGTATTTCAGTATTGTCCTCAGTATTGAGGCTTGAGTGCTCATTGTTCGAGAAATTCAATTTCTGTGCTGTACTGAGGGCACCTTGCCACTTGTTATCATAGCCTCCATCATCACAATACTGATCAGCCCTTTTAGATCAATATTATGGTTTATAATGAGCAAAATGCTAAATAAATATGTATATACTGTATATCCACACAAACACACACACAAAAAACAAAAAAAAACAAAAAACATGTCATTTTTTAACCAGTAGATGGCTAATGTGAATGCTCTTTCAGCTTTACTCACCTGTGCTCTCTGCAGTTCTTCTGTCAGACCAAAACTTGCACACTATCAGACTGCAGAAAATTAGATGACATCTAGTGGTGTCATGTGAGAATGTGACATACCTGGGTTGACCAGTCTTATTGTGGATGGTAGCTTTAAGGTTAAGATTGTTTCTGTAGGGAAATGTCTTGAATGTCCTCTCCTTCAATACCTCTGGGACAACCTGTCAGGAGCAGCGGGCAACTACACTGTGCCTGATGACCCATCTTCAATTTTTGAGATTACCAAATTACCAAAGTAGCCAGTTGGGCAAATGCCAAACCTGAAAACTTGCAAGTAGGCTATTCTTTAACAAAGCACAAGTTTATCCTCCAGGAATCCAAGAAGTGGTAATAGAATTAGATGATAAGGAAATTTGTATATATTAGATTATATTATATTAGACCCTATGTTTTTAAATACAATACATGCCTACTCTTTCTACCTGCACAACAAATGTTCATGTTGGCATTGCATCTTAAATCTTGTGACAATCCAATCTGCAGCATTTTACTTTAGAAAATAGTACTTTCTAATTATGCTTAAAATGTTGACAAAGTGTAATATTTTAATCTTAACATTTGGCCAGTCCAATTCTCTCACCTTAGCCTTTGCTCCCACACTGATGTGAATAGGCTCTGTGGGCAGAAGGAGACACTGATAACGTCACCTCACAGACTGACTCCAGGGTGAGCCGGAACCTGTCTGCCAGCCTGCCCACCTGCCGGCTTCCCAAAATAAAAATGCAAATTCCTCCGTCATAACTCCCTCTATTGGAAAACAATGGGAAGGACAACCGCAGTGCGTCTCATCCCCTGAAGCCAGCACATGTCTCTACCTGTAAGAGCCAATTTCTCTCATTTCCACCTTCGCAGCGTGAGATGGACACACAAACTACACACTGAACCCATCAAAGCCATAGTAAATAACCTGCATGACTGAAGCACAACTGAATGCCAATGTGTACCCATGGGTGCCCTTCAGATTTAAGACATCAAAGCATTAAACTTCATGGCACTGGGTTGGCATATCAGCATGGTGGAAAGATTTCAATCTGGGAGAAATCTGCGAGCCAGGAAATATTTGGCATAAACAAGTCTATGTTTTATATTAAATATGAATCCTCGGACTAAAGGGCCCATATCATGCAATTTTCTCATCTCTGTTATAATGTTGTGTCCTCATAAAAAACATAACCAGAGTTATGTTTTGTTTCACTCACACATATTTAACACACAAATCCTGCATATTTAGGCTTCTTTTATTCTTCTTCTGTTCTTAGGTTTCTCAAACTGAAAAAACTCTCTTCCACCTTGTGATGTCATGTGGAAGTATGCAGAAAGTACTTCATTGTGTTTTTAAACTCCATACACTGTCACTAGAATCATTTGGATAATTTCAGCCATGGATTTCCTAATCTCTACTGAACAAAAGATAAAAGATAGCTGTTGGAAAACTACCATTTGATGACATCACAAGGTGCAACAGAGCATTTTGAGTTTTGGAAACGTATTCAGACTAAAGAAAACAACATTCTACATTCTAACAGAAATCTCTTAATCGCTTAAATCGCACACGAGTCAATTTAGCAAAATATAGAACCTTTAAGAGTTGATAAAGTAAACCTTGTTATACAATTAAGTTGAATTTATAAAGACCATAGAAAGTAAAGTTTTTTATAGTAATACATCCAGTGCACAAGCGGGGCAACAATGAGATAAAAGGGTGGAGGCATTTCTTTTCTACCACTTTTACATTCAGGTGGGCACAGGATCACTGCGGGCAGTATGAGTCAATCCCTGTACCCTGTTGAGGTGCCACTGGAGTGCGGGTAGATCTGTGTAACTCTTTATTCCTATGCCCACAGCCAACAAAAGAAGCAATAGCATCAAAGTTTTAACTGAAAAGGTTTTTTGTTTGATGTGAGTCTGGTCACTGGTGCATCT